ATATATATATATATATTACTTTTTAAAACTCAAATCACTAACAAGATTCAAATCTTCCTTTGGACTAACCCTAACCAAAACCTCAGTAAAATATATAATTAAACCTACAAAAATTGATTCAAATAATCCTCACTTCACATAACTGAACATGCATTAACATTTTCATCACTGAAAATTGTTGTGTACTTCTCAACAGGAGCACTAGGGCTTGGAAATGCCTGTGCAACATTTCTAACATACCCAGAAGGCGCCTTTTTGTCATAGGCTCCAGGAGCATAAGGGTAACATGCCAAATTGTATTGAACATATGGCCAAAATTCAGCTTTCTTTCCTGTGCTCTTCACTTTATCTAAGACCTTGTTTGGCTCTACTCGGCTTTGTTTTCTGTTTATGTCAACTGATTTTACACCTATAATAGAACCAAAAACATGTATTAATCATATTGACAATTAATAATAATAGTATCAATTGACAAAGTACGTTAATATAGAATAGTGGTTCATTAACGAATTTCTGTTATGCCTTGTTGAAGGTTTTTGAACTCTGATAGTATATTGAGTTTTGAGCTTTACCCACTGAAAGGTTTATTATAACTTTAACAAAGTTTTATCAAACAAGCACTTAACTTTTTTCTTAAGAAAACCTTATTCGATTTTGAGACACGAGTCTTGAGGGTACAATTTTACCGAGTTACTCTTTTGATCCGGATTGCCTTTTTCATATGTATTTCAAGTTTAACCACACATTTTATAGCTTTTCTTGTGAGAGAGAGAGACAGAGAAATTTAAACCTTTGATGGAGGAAACTGCATTTCCAACTCTTCTTTCGCAGCCATCACAATCCATTTTCACCCTTATTTCCACTGTCTGCAGTATGCCAGTTTCAAAACATTGAATTTAATTAGACAATCCTTTTCAAACATGATCATCTAAACAAATAGTAAAAAACAGGTTGAGTTGGATTGCTTACCTGCATTGGCTTGCGCTTGCTCTTTCTTGTGCTTGTAACTGAGCACACTTCTGAAATATGATCTACAAAACCCATGTTTCTTTTCCCTTTGTATCTAAGTTAAAGTTTCTCTGTGTTTGTGTGAAAAGAGAGAGAGAGCAGATGGAGGTGACATTACCTATTTTTACCACAAGTACTGAGCAAGCATTTCAACAATGAAACATAGGAAG